GCAGCGCCGGCCACAGCAGCCGCTTGCAGTCTATCCCTACGGTAATATCTTCCCTACGGCTAACTCTGCAACTTTAGCATTTAGCACTGATCTATCCAAAGCTGCTCCACGCCACTTCCAAATATTATCAGTTTCAATTTTGAATATATGCTATTCATAAATGATGGTGGCCTGCGGCAACTCGAATTTCTTATTAGTTGTCGGTAGTAGGAACAGAGAAATAGGTCTTCCTCAACGAAAAGCCAAAGGGGAACTCAAAGGCAAAGTGAAAATGGAGCAAGGTAAAGATTTGAATTATTTTCTCTTGGTAAAATTCAGCACTTCGATCTTCAATATATATGAAACTCTTTTGATGCAGCAACGACATATTTCAATAACTTTAACTTTAAGCATTACACCTCCCAGGGAACTAAGCCGTGAGGGAAGAATTTGCAAATTAGGAATGAAGAAGTCTAAGTTTAGACTGTCTCCATCTGCTCATGCTTCCGTGTTTTCGAATTAAAATATAACAATTAACGTAATAATAATGTGACATCTATGTGACAGCAATTTTTTTGCCACGTCAGTAGAAGTCAATTTTTTGTGACCACCGTCTAATCAACTGTTATATCTAACGGTTAACAAAATCGCCAGGACATAAATAACACAAAAACTATTATACGTTGGGGTGTTTTCATAATATCGAATAGATATAAATGATATTTTATTTGTAGTTCGAGTTTTGTAGTGGTATTAACTCTACATAAGATTAAATTACTATAATTTTTGGGTTTAAGGTTTTTGTAATCTATTTCCCAATATGGGTTTAAGGTCTCTAAACTTTCTATTTTTACGTTAAATAGTAAAATCAAGTATCAACACTTAAAAGCATTAGAATCTTAATTTCACAATGAATTCGAGAAGCATGAAGAAAAAACGGGAAATATGGGCAAAATACATTCAATTTCTATAGCGTTTTTTATTTTATTTTCAAATAAACATCCCTAATTATTTATATAAAAGATTGAAAAGGCACAACCAAATGATTAGTCGTAGGTTGAGCTATAATTTCATCCATATCTCGTCGAAACAATATTTGGTTTGATCAAGGAGGATGTTAATCGCCAATTCGTTCATATGCAATTAGTGGTGTATCCAGACTTCAAGTTAACTAGGGTCCTAAAAATTTGTAATGCTAAAATCTATGCCTTGAATAGAGTTTGAGTGGATTGGGGTTCTTAAAGATAGCTAAAATTAATAAGAGTATGGGGTTCTAAGTTTGAAGAATCGGCTAAAACCTACGTATCTAATGAAATTTTGCCTAATTTTTCTGTCAAGTGGGGTCCTCGGACCCCACTCCTCAACACTTGCCTTCGCCACTTTATGCAATGGAAGGCAGATGGCAATCTCAAAGGGTTCATTACTGCAGTTTGTATAAAATAAAAATATAAGCTCTAATTTGACGCTTCTAAAACAGTTGTTTCGAAAATACTAGATGATCCTTATCATTTATAATTTTACTAAAAAAAATTCTTTTATTTATATCATTTTAAAACTAAAATAGGACTTTAATATTAGTCAATATAAAAAATCAAACAAGATATAGTTTTACTATTTTACATTTTTCATATTTTACGTTTGAAATTTTTTTGTCATTTACATAACTTTTTATTTAAAAATAAAGAAAGCGGATAGGGTACACAGGTCTTATCTACAACGGGAACAGATCCGGTCAATAACTATGCATAACCCAATCACCATCCGTCACATCAGCGTCCATTTTCACTAATGTAAAGCCTTTAATTCCCCCCCCCCCCCCACAACACAATCTTTGTGGACGATTTCTCACTCGTTTAAGTCAAATTTAATTTTTTTGCACAGTTATATCAGATTAATTGTGCTCTTCAAAATGAAATCCACTTTGATATATTTTTGGAACAAAAAAATTGAGCCATTTTTTACTAGTCTATACCATATGGTATTGACTGGTATTGAAATAAGAGTGTACCTATGATTTGAAAAGCGTATCATGGTGGTATGAACAAACCAAGACTATATGATGGTTTAATACATGATAGTAGAAGTATATTAACTGTCATTTACGACTTTTAACATTGTGTACCACAAGATACTACCTCGTACCAGGGTGGTATTGTGTGGTATTTTTTGGTCATGTAATTTGTTCACCCAGAAATTTGTAGATCCAATAGATCATGATGAACTCGTTCCTTCTGTTCAAAAGTTTTCAAAAACGAATTCAAAAATGAAGAGACCATATGGTATGCAGTTGGTACCGAGAGGCAAGAAAAAAATTCTCAAAATATTGAAAATGGATCTCGTTTTGTAGATCACAACGAACATGTTCTATCTGTGCAAAAAAATTTAGTTATTAATGGATGCATAACGCATAACCCATGGTTATGTAGTGTTAGAGAGTGGTATAAGATCCACGATTGAATCTCTCCCAACAACTCGAGTTATTGGGAGCAACTGGTTATTGACATGGTATCAGAGCGCGTTTTGACGAAGCCAAACTCAATAAGGAAATCCGTTAAAGCCGTATACCATGCCCGGGGAGCCTGACGGAGGCCATAAATAGCCCGACGGAGACGACAAACATGAGTGGGGCGGTCAGGGTCAACAAAGCCAGGAGGCTGAGCCATATAAACCTCTTCTTGTAAGGGAGCCTGCAAGAAAGCATTATTGACATCGAATTGAGTAATTGGCCAATTGTGAGAGAGAGCCAATGTGAAGACAGTGCGGACAGTAACAAGCTTGACAACTGGACTGAAGGTGTCAGTAAAATCGAGCCATGGATGCTGATGAAACCCCTTGGCAACCAAACAAGTCTTGTATCGTTCAATAGCACCATCAGAATGATGCTTAACACGAAAGACCTAACAATTGCCGAGAACATTATCATGAGGAAGCCGAGGAACCAAGTCCCAAGTACCATTGGCGATGAGAGCCTTGTTCTCTGCGGAAAGAGCATGGCACCATTCAGGAAAGCACATAGCATCCTTGACCGAGAGGGGCTGGAGAGGAGGCGACCCAGTTGCCAATTGGGAATGAAAGAGGCGCTTGGGCCTGAAGATCCCGGACTAGGCCCGCGTGTGCATACTGTGGGAGCGCACAGGAGGAGGCGGTGAGCCGGGGGGCTGGGAAGGCCCAGTTGAAGGCGTGACAGGCGGAGAAGCAGCCCGGGGCGCAGTTACGGCCCCAGGCGAAAGGGGAACAGCTGGAGAGGAGGGCCCGGGTGCTGGGGAGGGCGGAGGAGGAGGATCTTGCTGGGGGGAGCCTGCCGCTGAATGGGACTGGGCCAAGGGAGGCCCACTGGCTGTTGGGTGATGCAATGAGCGGCCTGGTAGAGTAGAAATGGTGGGAGAAAGATCCAAGAGCCATGTGTCCGGCTGTGGGAGCTCAGTGGGGGTAACGGAGTGAAATCCTGGAAAGTTATCCTCAACAAATATGACATGGCGAGAAAAGAATATACGGTGAGTGTTAGAATCAAAACACTGATAAGCACTACGTTGAGGACAATATCCAAGGAACAGACACGGTCGAGAACGAGGATCAAGTTTGTGCGAAGAATAGGGACGAAGCCACGGATAGCAAAGATAGCCAAAGACACGAAGTTTATGATAATTAGGAGAGAGATTAAAGAGAAGAGTGTAAGGAATTTTACCACGCAAGGCAGAGGATGGAAGACGATTTATGAGGTAAATGGCCGTGGAAAAAGCAAAGGACCAAAAAGAGATAGGAAGGTGAGCATGATGGAGAAGAGTTATACCAGTTTCGACCAAATGACGATGTTTGCGCTCAGCAAGACCGTTATGTTCAGGTGTATGAGGTGGAGTGAGAAGATGAGTTATGCCATTATCGAGAAGAACAGAACGTAATTTTTGAAATCCTCCACCACCATCAGTGTATAAACGGCGAATGGTAGTAGAGAAATAATTTTCTACCATTTTTCTGAAATCGAGAAAAACCTGGAGAACATTGGATTTACGACGTAAAGGATAATACCAGGTATATCGAGTAAAATGATCAATAATAATCAAATAATAGCAATAACCATCAATAGAAGAAACAGGAGCTGGCCCCCAAACGATAAAGAAGAGTCTGAAAAAGACTCGCTGCTAATAAAGGGTATAAAAAGGGACAAGTTGGTAACTTTCCTTTCCTACATTTTTTTACATACTGTCACGAATCTTAGAGGAGAGAAGCTTTTTTATCAGTCAAAGACTACTTTTTTTTAATCTCTCTTTTTTTAATCGGGTCATATCTCATTCGTTTTAATTTGGAGCTTAAAATATTTACGCATAAAAATAATGTATAATCAAGATCTATACAATGATGGCCATAAAAATAATTTGTAATCAAGATCTATACAATGATAGCCATTTTGCTATGTTTTGAGGAACAAAATTAACCATGTGAAATACGCTCTGGTTGTTGTATAATCACACTCTAAAAGCTTCAACCTGGAACTTTTTTTGTTGCAAACACGAAAATGGACAAATTAGTTGAACTAAAAAAAATAACTGAGTTCACCATAATAGAATTGAGTAACCAAACGATGTAAACTTATTTAAATACTAGAATAACTATCACATCAAACCAAACGATGTAAACTACAATACATCAAATTTTCTTATATGCATGTATATTATTATGCATGCATCGATAACAATGCATCTGTTTAACTATCACCAAAACCAAACGACCCCAGAGTTCATCTAGAAGTAGAAACTCTGAGAAAAATGTATATTCTGGAATGTATGCATAAGAAGAGTGATTGTAAGAGATAGACAATTGAAAGATATGTTGTTTGGTACTTGTGATTCCCAAGAAAATAAAAACTCTAACCGAAGGCCAAATGATTCCCAAGAAAATAAAACTCTAACCGGAGGCCAAATACCGAATATAATCTTGAAGTTGTTATTATAATTTCATTTATAAGGATCGAGAAAAGCAAAAGAAAGAAAATCTTTTTTCTTTTTCAGAGATTCTAAGTCAAATGCATTTTGGACACTTTATATGTCAAAGTTGTACACAGCTACAGAGCTTTCAAACGACCCCTTAGTTATTTTTGCCATTTTTTGTTGTGAATGCTAAATTATTGTAAGTTTTACAAGTTGTTTGGGATACTTCCATTCAGCACCATTCATTCAGACTCTTATCTTCCAAACGACCTCCCTCTCAATTGCTTCACAATTTCATGGTCATTTATCTCCCATCGAAACCGAATCCAATTATACTGACCTAAAAATTGTCGGTGCATGAAACGGAATGATTGGAAAGGGTAGTAAGCCAGCAGAGACTTGGTTTCCAGTGTCTCTCCGGCTTCTGAAAGGTATTCTCTTCCTTTTTCTTCTCCCGGCACTGCTGCTTCATATCCTCTCGAGAGAAATGGAGACAGCAACTAACAGAAAATACACATGACATACACTAAGGCAACCCTCTGATGGCTGCCAAGATCTACATGAAGAGAGAAAAAACATAAAAATATATAGGCAAGCCCTACAAAGAATTTGGTTTCCTCGGCATGGGGCTAAAAACCAGGGCAGTCTTCTTCGTCCGCTTCGAGGATGTGGCTTGTCAAACTGAGAAGGGTTTTAAGCACTCGAACTGGTTGGAGCCTTTTGTTAGCTTCAAATTAACCTAGCTGAGATTTACAAACAAAAAGGCTTACTAGGCTGGTGTAAGGTCTTAGTACCGACTATCAGTCAAGCAGCTCCGGATCGAGACAGCGAGTTTGCCAACACTGTGGGGATGGAGCAGGACTGCACATACTCCGAGGCACACTGCCATGGCAGCAATTACAAACATCCCAGGCCGTGACCTCAATACCCGGTTGGACAACATGAGACTGCATGACTTGATGGCCCGTCCATTTAGGAGCGGAGTCTTGTCATTTGTAACATCATGACCTGAGTCTTCCGTTAACCTCAACCGGTTATCAGGTCTACTCTCTATGTCCTGCAATCACAAAATTGCCAATTATGACATAGTTCAGCCAGCAGGAAATAATGGCACAAAACAATTACTTATGGCGGACCCTAGAAATTATTACATATCCAAGTGCCTTCACTAATTTTCTCTAAGCTGTTACTAACATAATTTTTCTTCACTTTTACAACCACCTACGAAAAAGCTACTTATCTAAAGCAAAAGCTCAAACAAACACAGCAAAGAAGTCCAAAAGAATGAGCTGTCTAACCTCGTCAGAACATGCAGCAACTGATGGAAAATTGTTTGACGAGCTACATTGATCTACATCACCAGGGTCCTGTGTAGCACACTCTGGCCGTGAAACCAAACCTTTGCTTCTGTTTGCTTGTTGGAGAAGAAACATACGGGCATCATTAATGTGTTTTTGTAATAGCTTGTCATCAGCATTATTTTCCACACATAGTTCATCCATTAGTATCTTCAGATTGGACAAAATTTTCCCCAAAATGAAGGTCGATTCATGCTGTAGCAAAAACTGCAATAGATGTATGAATCTTTGGATCTGAAAAGAGGTCTTTTTTTGCTTGATATCTTCTTGGGAAGGCGGTTTCAACAACGATGCTATGTCCACAATCAACTCCGAGAGTGCTCTTTGCCTGGTTTCTGAAACCTCACAGTGCAGTAGACCTGTTGGTGGATGAGATGCATCTAATAATCCCATTCTCTGCTGTATTACTTCCATTTCGGAACAGATTTGTCGATCTCCTACGAGCACAGGAATGAAGTTCGATAAACCACTTTCGTTCTCAACCTGCAAAAGACGTTGAAGCAGATGTTTGAGACAGAAAAAACAACCTGAAAGGGAAATAGACTTCCTTGGCTCCCTCGGGAAAAAAGCTGGTTCTGTGTTCCAGAGAATTTAAAAACTACCTCGATAAATGCAGGACCATAAATATTAGGATCAACATGAGGAATAGATATCTTGCACAACTGGTGGTCCCTGGTTGCTGCTCCATCTGGACCACCACTGGGAAGTCCAACACAGGAATCATATGCTAAATACTTCCCATCAAATGACACCAGCAACCTGCCATAATGACCTCTTTTATTACACTAGCAACATTATCACGGAGATAATAAAGTCTCTTAAGAATGAGACCCATTATTAACAAGAGGGGAAAACTAGGTATTCCAGACAATCAATAGCAAGGAAAACTTAAGCAAAAAAGACCCAGAAAAAATATAGGTAAGAGAAAGATAATGTATTTCAAAATAGGTGGCCAGGTACATTGGACAGCAATGTTATACCGAAATTTGGATTGGAATAGATTGCTTCCACAGGTAACAAACTCCATTGGCTTCCCAGCCTCAAAGAACGTTGGATGAACATAGTGAAGCCTAGGGGATTGTGTTCCAATACTGAGTTGCATCACGGAAGTTCCACCTATGTTCCATAGGAAGTGTGTCAGATAACGAGAACATTGAAACATTTTTTTTTTCCTTGGGAATGAAATTTAGAAAAAACAGAAAATATTCAGACGGCTCTTCCACTACAAAAGAATGATAATAAGGCTGACACCCTCAGATGAGTCTTTCTTTAGTTTTACCATCTATTGTGAAACTATTTCTTCCTTCTACCCGGCAAACTGAGGGGTAGAGACCATGCTATTCTCTTTGCCAATTTTCGAAGCTAGGCCTACTACTTGCCAAACAATTTCTTACAGTTATCTCAACAGCAGCAAGTAGAGGAAAGAACTGGAAACTGGGGTCCAGACCAAACTATTCATTTGTCACTTCTCTAAGCTAGGGAAATTGATAACCAAACAAGTTTTTTAAGTTATCTCAACAGCAACACGCAGTGGAAAGAGCTGTAGCAAGCAATTAGCCAGGGTCACAAAACTTTGGAAGCTCCAGTTAGCCAAATGCTGGATATGTTCGGTTTCAGCAACTTGCTTATGACATACGAAAAGTAGAGTCGTCGGAAAAGCAAGGGCACAAAGTTTAAACCAAAGGTCCAAAGAAAGGAGTATAAAATCCAAATGCATTTCAAGAAGAAAATCACTATTAATGATCAGGAGGTCAATCAGAAACTTCAAATGGATCTTGCCTTTCATAACTCGGAACACCATATCATTCAGATAAACGATCATAGGGCCTTTTCCGGACAGCATTGTTCCAGGAACAACAACAAAATTGTGCACATACGATAGAGGGTCTTCGAGCAACTGCCAAAAGTTATAAAAGTTAGTGCAGAACTGGTAAGAATCCCCAAACCACTAGCAGAGAATGTAATTTATTCATCAATACTACTAAATACATGTTACTGGCCGAGGAATGTAAAGTATAAATTTAGCCAAACTACTTTGCAACCTTCAATGTCCCAACTTTCAAAGTTTCCACCTTACTTCTTCAGCTTACTGTTCAATTAAAACACTTAGTACTTTCAGGAGGATGCATTTAACAGAAAAAATAATGAGCACGCAGTTCAGTTTCTCACAAGGTTGAAGTGGTGAGAGCAGAAAGTAAATTCGGATCCATAATCTGAAGGGAAAATTATCTTGCCTAAGTTTAAGGACTGAGCTGTTCTGAACTAAACTTGAAGCTCTTTACAGTAATTGATTTGAGCATTTTTCAGACAGTAAACGAGTAATTACCTTCACCCACATAAGTTTTGGCATTGCAACAAACACAGTCAAGATTGTACATCCAGGACGAATATATCCTTCCAACTCGACAGGCATACTGGCCAACCACTGGAATATCTGCATATGCGATTAGAACAGCATTAGCCAAAATCCTATACTCTTAAGTAAATAAATACCATATCGGCCATCAAATACTAAACTGCAAAATATTTCTTTAAAATACTTGGTGACGGAGCCTTCTCGGAAACTCTGCTGGATTCCAATCATAGAGCTTGAACGAGACCCGACCTGTTGGACACTAAAATACATAACAAGTGATTAGAAGGAAGCTACATCATTTAACAATGCAGCAGAATCAGCAATCAATAAAATCAATGATGACCCACCAACGATGAGTAAGGAGTCCTGTTGTCGAAATAAGAAGGGGAGCGCGACACTTTGGAATCATACTTCCCACCAGAATCATCATTTCCGACATCCAATTGGGTTTCAGCTGAACCAGCACCGCTGTCACTGTTCAATTTATGGGCTTCATCTTCAATCACAACCAGACCTTCCTTGCCAGCAATCTGCAAGCTTACACCCTCTGCATGACAACAGAAACATAGCCCATCAGAACACATCATATCCGAATGCCACTCTCCATTTCACGTAACATAACCTGACCTATTTCAGCTTCACCATCACCAGCAGCATCTTCAGCTTGCAAACTATCCAGGTTAGTCCCCTCTTTAGCGCCAGGCTTTCTACGTCTCCTATTGTTGTGACGCTCTAACTTCCTTCTACAGCTGCGCTTGCCTTCGTCAAAATCGGAAAGCAAGTGAAACCTATACCACAAGAAACACGCAAGGCAGGACATTTCAATCAAGCCACCATCCAGAACTCCGATCATAATATTCAAAAAAAGTGGCAAGACTCAAGAAACCAAAAGCGCTATCCACTTACTTCCCACACTGCTGACAGTATCTCATGGTCTCCCCCTCGAGCTCAACGGCGGTCGCATTAGCACAACGCAAGCACACCCTGTGCCGCCGGTGATAACCTTTGAGCTCGCCGATATCCGCCTCGCAACCGGGAACCTGGCACCGGTGCATCCCGGGCCCTCCCCTGGCGACACGTGGACGCTTCTTCCCCGGGGTGCCTTCCTCCCGCTCCAACTCCAATTGATCGTCCAGCTCCGGGCAGGCGCAGGGGACCCTGCCCGCCAAGAAATTGGAGCAGGTCAGCCTCGGGTCCCGCTTCCTGACCTGGTCGGGAGGCGGCGTATCGGGCGTCAAGTGGCCAGGATCCAGCTCAGGGATATAGTCCAAGGCGGTACCGTCGATGGAGTTGAAGGCGAGCGGGAAGTGACCGTCGATGTTGAAGTCGAGGAGATCGGTGAATTCCCAGACGCCGGAGGAAGAAGAAGGATACGGTTCGGTCGCCGGCGGGAGATGAGCTTCGTCGAGCGGGGCGTCGGGAGGAAAAGGAGAAGGTTCCATGGGGCAGTCGCCGATTAGGGAAACCCTAGGAATCGGAGGGTTTGTTGAGGGGCCAGGTGGTGGCGAAGAGTAGGCGGGCGGTGCGATGGGGTTGAGCGCGGTGGTTCGGTTATGGCGAAAGAAAGTGGTTGGGGTTTGGTGGCTTGGCTCGTGAAAGATTACATTGTACGAGTTTGTATGCTACAAACATCAGGGCCGACCATTGGAGTGTGTATGTGTTGGGAGGACCTCCGAATATTTTTTGGGCTCCAGTATAGGTTTATTAATTAATCCAATCATATATCATCCAATGAACTTGTGGATGTGGTGTATGGTTGATTGTGGGTGTAATTATGAGTTTTAAGTCTACTAAATAATATTGATGCTAGTCATTTATCAATATTCTCATTTATAGACAGATGAGGCATATATTATATATATATTGGACCAACTCTCAATTTTGGAACAAGGCTTCTCGACAAACATCGTGCTACGCTCTAAATAATAAAATGCTACATTTGTATTTAACGACGCAAAATGAGGTTCCTCTCGTGCTAGAACTAAATATGCAATACACGAGCCAAATCACCTAACGACGACATGAGGCCTTTTTCTTAGGGATGGCAATTTGAACTCGCCCCATCGAGTATTACTTGATCGTGCCCGCAATGGGGCGGGTATTACCCGACCCCAGTTGTGTGGAGCGGGATATGAGTATCTACTTCCGACCCGTCCTACCTCGCCTCACCCCGGTTTTGACCTATTCTATTCATATTAATCTTATTTTGGCTTTTTTTAAGACATGATCTTTCAATTAATTAGATTCAATTACCCATTCTATTCTCATTTTTTTTTCATTCATAAAGTGTTTTTCCCTGCGATTTATCGTAAAAAAAATAAATTTTTTTGTGTATCTTTTTCAAATAACTTGTAAAAGTAGGTCGACGTGCCCGCCTCACCCCATACCCTCACGGATATTACCTGCCACAACCCGTAGTTAGTATCAAGCGTGGACGAGACATGAGTATTGAGGTATCCGCCCGTCTCTCCCCATTTCCATCACTACTTTTTCTGTATAATAATTTTGGTGGGGGAGAAGAGGTGGTTAGATGTAGAGAGATTGAGTGCGGAGGGGAGAGCCAGTTGTCGACTTGTCGTCACTTACTTGAAAACGTGACGGCCAGTTTAACGATAATGACAACTCTCCTAAGTAACTACCCCCTTTTAATTTAGTCCTTCATATTAGTAGCTGAGTTCCTTCAACATTAGCGGACTAGTTAACTGTAACATCCCGAATATTTTCCCGACAAGATACTATCCACTTTGGGCCTCTACATCCGCACGGTTTTTCGACTTGGGGTGCAACTCAAGGTCACTTCCCATAAGGTCACCCATCCTTGTTGTACTCCAAACTGAGCACGTTTAACTTCGGAGTTCTCACAAGAACTCCTCCATTACACCCCAAACGCATCTTTTCAGTTAAGGTCGATTCCCTACTTATGAACCATGGATCTCTCCCGTGCTTTGTCGATGTGGGATTTGTCTAAGGTGTTACATACACCCCCTTAGGACTCAACGTCCTCGTTGAGATTGCCCCAGCATCGTTCAAGAGGGACGTGGAGAGGCTCTGATACCACTTGTAACATCCTTAACCTTTTCCCGACAAGATACTGTTCGCTTTGGGCCTCTACACCCGCACGGTTCTCGACTTGGGGTGCAATTCAAGGTGACTTCCCATAAGGTCACCCATCCTTGTTGTACGTGTCTTTTCAGTTAAGGTTGGTTTCCTATTTATGAACCATGGATCTCTTCCGTGCTTTGTCGATGTGGGATTTGCCTAAGGTGTTACATTAACTAAATAACTAGCCATAACCGATTCCGGACAACTAAGAGAGGGCGCCGACGTTGATACCATGGATCTCTTCTGGTGGCTCTTGCTGTTGCCCAAAGGGCAGAGGTCGTATAGGCCACACGTTGTTGTCGCCCCTTTTCGTGAATATTGGTGGAATATTCTGTTGTAGGCTTTTTGTTTATTTGGGCCACCAAATTAATATAAAAAAATTCTTTTAGCTTTCAGGGAAAGTTTGGTGAAGGCAACAACCACAATCAGCTTGGTAAGACTGTCCACAACAATGAGGGAAAAAGAGGAGAAATTGAAAAAAAAAAAAAAAAAAGGGAGATGTGTCACAATAGTGGTGGGTAATATGGATAAAAAGGATAAAAAAAAAGGGAAGTGGGGTAGAGTTTTCCCTTCAGTAGAAGTTAAAAGAAGGAGGGGAAGGGGGACCAGGCAGGTGGGAGGAATTGATTTTAAAAAATATTTTTGTCAACGCTTTTTTTTTTGTTTTTTTCTTTTAAAAAATGTTTTATGGGATTTCTGATTGATTTTTTGGGAGTTATTGGCCAACGGCCATATTCTACCGCCATATTTCTAACGACTATTTTTCCAACTGTCATATTTCCAACGATCATATTTTTTCCAGCTCTATAAATAAAATTCATTCTTCAGTTTCTTCCAACACTTCTCAAACTCTTTTCCTACCTTCCAAAAATAATTCTCTTCTTCCCAAACTCTATAATCGTAACCATGGCTTCTTCCGGCAGCGAGCGCAATCCGAATTACACAACGCATGAAGACCTTGTTGTTTATGCCAAGTTTGGATGGAAGTTTCACAAGATCCTATTGTCGGTCATTATCAATCTTCACCAGCTTTCTAGAAAAGAATTTGAGATCTATATTTTGCAAATGGTTTTATGATCAATCGTATCAATGGCGCCTTGAAGACTCGATGGCAGTTTATCAACCATTCTTGTCAGAAGTGGTATGCGACATTGAGGGAAGCAAATGCTAATCCACCAAGCGGAACTAACCAAGTAGATGTGGTTAGTCAACTTCTAAAACATCTTTATTTAATTAATGGTATAATATTAGTGTTCTAATTTTTAATCATGTGTATTTGTTTTTTGATCAATTGTTTAGACCCATCACGTGAAATCTATTTTAAGGTGGACACGAAGAAAGACTAAAAGTTGGAAGAATGTTGGCAACTACTCCAAGAGTGTCCAAGATTTATGCAACAATTTTATGCTCATGTTGCACCCATTCCACCAAAGGATGGATCTCAATCGGCTATGTCAAGTGATGAACCTAATAGCCCCAGCCTTCATGCAGCTGCTGCTCCAAGAGTGCTCAACCTCAACCGTCTCGAAGGTCGAGATCAACAAAAGAGGAAGAAAAGAGGAGGTGGTGAACCTGCCGGCAAGGAAGCTTTTCAAAAGAGTTTGGCGGAGATGGCGGCAAGTTCGGCAACATATGCAAGATTGGCTGTCGGTAGGGAGGAAAGGGAGAAGGCGAAGGAAGCAAGGGAAAAAGTAGGTATGAGCGAGAAATCATGCTTTAGGATCTTTCTCAATAAGATCCTCAACAAAGAGCATGGTACCAAATTCAAAGAGACCAAATTATGTTTGCGTACCAATCGTCACTAGATTCTACACCACCTGAAGGATCTTCCAGTAGTCCATTTGATGACACTTACACCCCCGACCGATAGTCTTTAAAAAGTTGTTTGATTTATTTTTATGTATGTTTTATTTTTAGTGTGTTTGATTTAAGTACTTTCAAATTATCTTTGATGTATCCTTTATTTTTAGTGTGTTTGCTTTAAGTATTTCTCAATGTATCCTTGTTATGTTTTTGTTCAATATTCAATAACTTTCTTTATTAAGACACTAGAAAATGGAGAATACATGGATAACAAAATGGAAAGTACATTGATAACAAAAGCACAACAATAAGACACAAAGTAAACTCAACACATGATACAAGTTCAAGTAATTAAAGTGCACAACTTAAAATTAGAGCCACACCATAATTCTACTCCCCTCCTCCTGCTCTTGTACTTAAATGCTCAACCAAATACGCTTTCAGTGCATGATGCCCTTTACGGTTACGAATCCTATTATGTCTTATCATGTATTCCATGAGAGTCGGAGTGTCATGATCCGGTGCATCCAATGTAACATCTGGATTAGTCTCATATTCAAAGGCCTCCACATGTTCTTCTCCAAACTCATTTCGTTGGTCTTCAACTATCATATTGTGTAGAATAACGCAAGTGAGCATAATCTCTCCTAATGTTTGTACATCCCAATATCGACCCGGAGCTCTAGCAATGGCCCATCTTTCTTGTAGAATGCCGAAAGCTCTCTCAACATCCTTGCGGTATGACTCTTGCCATTTTGCAAACAGATTCTTCTTTTGGTTACTAGGGTTGCTAATGCTTTTCACAAATGTAGACCATTCAGGGTAAATGTGGTCAGCCAAGTAGTAACATTGATTGTAAATGTTACCATTTACCGTATAGCTGACTTTGGAAGATTGTCGTTGACTGCTTCATCGAATAGTGGGGAGACTCCAAGTGTGCTTATGTCTTTGTTTGATCTGGGACTCCCGAAGAAGACATGCTAAATCCATGTGTCATATGATGCTACAGCTTCCAGGATAATTGTTGGCTTCCCTTGTATCCAGTAAATTGTCCTTGCCACGCCATTGGACAATTTTTCCACTCCCAATGCATGCAGTCGATTGAACTGATCATACCTGGAAAGCCACGTCGACGATTGCTCTGATGAAGAAGGCGTCAAAGGTCCTCCACATTTGGTGATCGTAAGTACTCAGGACCATAGATGCAGATAATGGAATTACAAAATTTATGCATACACTGCAGTATAGTGGTCTCACCCATATCAAAGGTCTCGTCTAAGGAGTCGGTTGAGCATCCATTTGAAAGCATCTGGAGGGAAGTAGTAAGCTTTGTTTGGGGGAGAATGACAGGCGACCCGTAGCATCTCGACCTTGTTGGAAATAGGGGTCGTGTTGAACAACGATGGGCATTGCAGAATTGTTTCGCTACATGTGCAGCTTGTTTCGAGTGAAATATCCGCCCCTTGTAGAATTCTCCTTCAAAACCAGCAACAATAGGCATTGGAATTACGCCATATGAATCAGCATATGATAATTCGTCGTCCTCTTCATTACCCCGCAAGTACAAAATATGGAGGATAATTAGGCTGCTCTCCTTCGCCATCTTCCTCCTCCTCCTCTTCTTCTGCATCTTCCTCCTCTCCGTCAACATCGTCATGATCGGATGGCATGCTCCATGTCTCATCTTCTTCCTCTCCATCTCTATCCTCACTGACCTCAGCATGTATCTCAGCACCCAAACAATAAGGGTTTTGTGCCATAAAATCGAAAAACACATTCAAACTATCATCATCCACAATAGGCATCGCATAATGAAATAAAACACCATTCTGCCATTCCGGAAGACGGTAAGTGAAACCTATGATCACATCACTATCTTGTACTGCTTCGTCTATACGTTGTATTCTCGGGATTAGATTCTCACAAAGTTTGTGATATGTCACTAGGGGTGGGCAAACGGTTCGGTAAACCCGAACCGAAACCGAATTAAACCGAAACAAAACCGAATTAATGCTATTCGGTTCGGAATTCGGAAGGAAAAATATGGATAGTTCGAAAATCAGGGTTCTTTCAACCGAACCGAATTTCCGAATTTCCGACCAAAAAACCGAAATACTATAATTGCAAGCTCCAAATGGTGGATTTTTATGTTTGTAGTTGTTTCTAGACTTAAATATTTGAAATGTTTTATGACTTATGTGTTGAAAAGTTTGGTTTTATCATTGATGATGCATATAATTGATATTTATTGTTTATATTAGGGGTGAAAAATAATTTAAAAGTGAGAAAATACAAGTAGCTTCACAAATTCGGTTTGAGGTTTGGGAGAATTCGGGGACCCGGTATTCATAATTTCGGTTCGGTCGAAACCGAACCGACCGAATGCCCACCCCTATATGTCACCCTGGATGGAACCGTCAACTGAAAACTTCTACCACCAACGAATTGGATGCCCAAATTATCCTCTACTTTCTCCGATTTCCACCGAACGACTAGTTCAAATCTTCTAAAATAACTACATAGAAACAAACTCACTAATTAACTAAACAATATCATAATAGCATTTGAAGAATATAATTAAAAAAAATAAATGTCTCTCTTACCTATTAGCCATCTTTTCGGCAACCAGAGTAACTTTGTCGATTTTTTTTTTGTTGGTGAGCAACTAGATATGATCCGAAATTGCCAACCATTCACGTCACAATTACTTGACAAAGAAGCTATTGAAGTTGGGAAAAAGAAAGACAGAATTTGGTTAAGTATTGGACCAGTTTTAAGTAGCCTACTTTGGAGGCTTGGTTCTCTCAATTGGCTCACTGAAAATTGGCGTTCGAAGGCTTGTTTTAAAGATGAAGTTGCCATCTTTCCAATGGTATACTTTTTGGATCCATAAGATGTCAATAAGATTGTTTTCCAAGGCCTCAAAGTTGCTACCTCAAAACTGGAAAACTGCCAGAAAATGGTTAAGTCTGGAAACTGTTTTGTGAAACCTACTTTAGAGCTTAATTCGAGGAGTATGGATCTGATTCAAGTCCAAAGGCCTCCACAACATGAAACTAGATATGTTTGTGTTCAAAGGGAAGGAATTGGATGAAGGTTTGGAGTTCTGGAAGGTCTCGAACAAAAGGCGCGAAGTTAGTACGAAAGCTGTATTTTGACTGTTTTGCTTGCAGCTTACTTGTGCTTCAAGAAAGGAAGTTTAAACCCGAATTTTGTGTCCTTTTTAGAGTAGATTTTTACCTTATTTGTTTCCTAGTTCTATTAGGTTTGTATTTGGTTTATTTGCCTTTAAATACCTTCTATTTTCGTTGTAAAACATAGAGTTGATTGAATTGAATAACAAACAGAGTGTTTGAGTTCTTGAGTTGCGTCTCGATAGTTTGCCCATTGTCATTAGCTACGAGTGGATTCCTTAGCTAATTAAAAGACCCCTGTGAAGCTATTCTGAGTGGATTCTAGAATCGTTTAGCAAGTTCTCTTATCAATCGATTAATCACCTCGATTGTGGCAAGAATTCTACATTTCCATCAATTGTCGTTCGATAGTTTGTTTCGCTGCGTATTCTGATCAAAAGCATCCCCTAGTGTTTTATCACAACTGAAAGGAAATTCGTTGGTTTTATGGGGGTAAAAGCTAGTAGTACGCCAGCGGACCCGCCTTAGTCCTGGGCGCCATCGCTGGGTACAATTTCCCACTAACTCGCCTCATTCTCTCGCGCCGCCGCTGGTCAACCTTTTTGGACATTCTGAAAAACCTTTGGGAATGGCGGTACTGCCTTAGTCTTGGGCGCCCCCGCTCTCACCTTAATCAAATTGATTAAAAAAAAAACAGAAATAGCGACAGCGCTTGAGTCTCGGGTAGTCTCGCCGATTTTGCTCTCCAAAACACAATAACTATGTCAATACTTTTTAAACCTCCATATTGATGGTAAATTAAAAAAAAGACAATATTTATGGAATTTATCCGTGGTGTGACTAAACTTCAATACAAACAATTGACCAAAGAAGATCTGAACCATCAATTAAAGAGATTAACTAATTATTTCAACTATTAAAAAAAGTAGCTTGAAAATTGTTAAAAAGTTATCGAAATGTTCGTATCAACAATACAGTCAAAATCACCAATTCATGTAGAAAATTTTGGCATCTATAAGCGTAAAAAAATAAGCTTTGAAGCCTTAAAACGTAGATTTTGACTACACTTGTAAGTGAAAAGCGTGATTACATGTAGAAATATTTTAAGTTTTAAAACAAGATTTTGACTACATTGCGTATCAAATTATCATGAACAAATATATACAATTTAAATTGAAAAATGTAAATTTAACTATTTGTAAGTTAGAATTATTAAACCAAAAATATAAATTAAAGTCTCTAATTTGCAGCGATTTCTATTTTGAAGAAGAGTAACATACCATTTGGTACCAAATGAATCGAGAATTCATTTCATTGTAAAATGAATTACCGTGTAGAATTCATTGTCAAATGAAATCTTGTGTTTGGTATGTCATATTCTAATCTATAAATAAAATGAATTATCGTGTAGAATTCATTGTCAAATGAATTCCTGTGTTTGGTATATCATATGCATAAGTAATTTAATTCGTAAAAAAAGATAATTATATCATCCTATTATAATTAGTAAATACTTGTGGAATTCATTTGAAAATTTCATCTCAATTCCTCAGAATTGCTATAACTAGTTCCAATTCCACGGAATTTAAAATTTAGAATTGAAAATGAATTCTTTTAAATACCAAACAAAAAAACTTTTCATTTCAAAATGAATTCCACAAAACTTATGGAATTCATTTATACCAAACGGCATGTAAAAGACAATTTTAACATTAAACCTAGGGGTGGGCACGTGGGTGGTTAATTCGCGGATCGATATCGATCCACCCGCAAAAAACCCGACCCACACGCAATGGGTGATTGATGTGGGTGGATTGCGGATTGATAAATCTTCCACCCACACTTATGTGGGTGGGTGGTGGGTGGATCGTGGGTCACCCGTATGACCCACATCCTATTTTGACATGAAAAATGTTGTTTCTTATAGTATCGAATATTCATCATATTTTCGAACTAGGGATGTTAACGAGTCGAGCTATTCGTGAGCGGCTCGGTCTCGAACTCGATAAAAGCTCGTGAACTTATGAGATGTCCCCCCAACATTGTTACTAGAGAGTTAACTCGACTACAACTTATGAGAAAATCAATCTATATTTTATGAATTGGTTTGTTAATGATGCATATAATTATTAAATTGTATATCACCCCCCAACATTGTGACTAGAGAGCTAACTCGACTACAGCTTATGAGAAAATCAATCTATATTTTATGAGTTGGTTTGTTAATGATGCATATAATTATTAAATTGTATATATCACCTCATATGGTGTTTAATACATTGAGTATATGTAAGCAAATACGTCTCATATATGACATAACATTAGGTAATCATTTGTATCACATATGACATATAAATATTAGGGTATTTATATTATAAATTATCTTAGAGTTGAGATTGAGCCGAAATATTGATCTTAACGATGTGTCAAGATTTAATAAATGAGTTGGCTCGTGTTCGACTCGACTCGTTTATAAATGAGCCGAACATGAACAAGGCAAAGCTCGACTCGACTCGACTCATTAACAACTCTATTTCGAACGACACAACATCTAACCATGCACTTCAAAAGGTAGAGAATAAAGAATAGTTTTGACTACTATTATTGGCTATTGTGTTGTGCAATATTCATTAGATATTGGATATTAGTATGAGTTATGACAATTATTGTTAATATCCATTAAATATGTTTGTTTGAGTTCTAATTTAAAATTTAATTTGGATAGTAACGTAAATTGCGTATTAAAGTTAGGACGACGAATAGTAATTTTAGGACGAAATTTAGCGTTTCACTTAAATATTGGGATGCAAAGTATAAATTATTAATTTTATCAAAATCACAAATTATTGATACAATCTTACTAATTTGCTATGAACTTATTATAAATGTTAGTCAACTTTCTTAATAGCTAGTTGGAGAATTGCTTTTGCGGGTTGACCCGTGACCCAGCCGCACACATTCGCCACCCATCCAACTCAACCCGTAAAATTATGTGGGTGGATTGCGGGTCACAATTATTCCAACTCGCTAGTAAATGAATGGGTCAATTTGAAACCAAACCCACCCAACCCGTCATTCCCGCCCCTAATTAAACCCCTTATTTTTGTCCATGTCGCACCCTCGTTACTTATCCGCGCCTTACGCTTCTCTCTCCCTCCAAAACCCCTTTTCCGAATCCCTCACAAACTTCAAAATTTACCCTCTCCGCTCTCTTCCCACTCTAGGGTTTCTGCTCTGTTCTCCCTCGTGGCCTTGTCCCACCTTCGCAAATGGCAAGGTACCGGAGCCGCAGCCGGAGCTACAGCCCCCGCCGCCCTCGCAGCAGGACTCCTCCTCGATCGCGAAAGCGGTACGACGACGATGGCAGCGACGACGAGCCTCGCGATCGTTATCGCGACAGCCGCTCCCGCAGAGACCGACGCTCCCCTCTTCCTTCTGGTTTGCTCGTCCGCAACCTCCCTCTCACCGCTAGGTACTTAAACTTCTTCTATTCTCTCTTATCTGCATTCTCTCGCGCTCGCGCACTTGTTTGAGTGCGTTTGTGATAGTTTGGAGCTACATTTTGGGGTTTACTTTCTTAGCTGGCCTTTGAATTTGATGACCTAGTTACATGAGAGTCTTCATGTTTGGTTCTAGGTTGAATTAGGTTTCGGTTGAGCATGTATTGGTATAAATTTCAGCCAAGACTCGCTGCCTATGTCATATTGATTGCTCATTGCCCCTGGGCTGCTTGATGTCTGTTGTTTGGCACGACTGGATTTATTTTGAAGTTGATATTTTAAGTATTTCCTCATCTGAAATGCGAAGTTTAAGATTGGCATGCTATTTTACTGCAGCGTTGAAGATCTTAGGATCCCGTTTCAGAAGTATGGCCCTGTGAAGGATGTCTATCTGCCTAAGAATTACTATACTGGGTATGCTTTCTCTTCCATTGTTCATCTCTTCTTATAATTTATTTCACTCTCTGTGATAACAATCTTGATTAATATATCCCTATAATAGTTGCGGATTACTTTTTCATATGCTAACCTATGAAATCTTCTCAATGACATAATATAGTTATGTGGTTGATCTTTCATTCTCAGTACGAAGTGTTTGTGGTTTGTAATTCGTGCATTATCTAACGATGTACTACGCAAGCAGGGAGCCTCGAGGTTTTGGGTTCGTGAAGTTCCGTCATGGTGAGGATGCTGCGATAGCAAAGGAAAGGCTGAATCATAAAGTTATTGGTGGACGGGAGATTCGTATTGTTTTTGCTGAGGAAAACAGGAAAACTCCTCAGGAGATGTCTTCAACTGGTGGTCGTACAAGGTGACTTATTTCCTGAGTGGTTCACCTTTCATGAACGTTTTTAAACTATCCACGTCTCTCAAGTCTGCATTATCGGTTGGTATATTAATTCCAGCAGTCGACATGGAGGCGGCAGTAGACATAGATCACCACCAAGGTCTCCAAGACGCAGATTCCGATGTCAGTTAAAAATCTCATCTATTTATCTGCGTTTCAGAATCTTTTTTTTGTGTGGGTATTCTGGTGTTATTATTGAAATGCTTGACGTGATGTGAAGACGTAAAAAAGAGGAGGGTTTTCTGACATAATAAACTTCATTTCCAGCTTCATCACGTTCTGCCTCCCCACCTAGGAGAGACTCGAGGTTTGGATCCCTTCGCTTCCATGTTACTTTTCCGTTTTATTTATTATGAGATTCTTTGTACGCTCGTTTCTTTGTGGTTGTCACTACCTTTCTTGCTTAGTTTGTCATTCATACATGTGTAACATTCTTTTGATGAGGTCTGATGTCTGAGGCATTCATGTAATGCAATAGTCTCATTGTATTAATCCACGGGATTTATCTTGCTTGTTGCAAATGTGATCATATAATCACTGAAAGGAGAGTAATATGATTGAGTGGGATTCATATCCCATCCATATCTTGGTGGTAGATGCGGCAGCAAACGTGCACTTGGTTCTGCATTGCTGTAGTAGAGCTAGATTATTAAACTTAGAGAACCTAAAGTACCGAGCTGATTTATATGGGGTAATGCTGTTTGTAAATGTGATACTTTTATCATTTCAATAATTAAATTACTGTTTATGATTGATATCTTGAATGGCGTGCCCTATGTTATTCCTTCTCTTTCCCTCACTAATGTACTATGGCTAGTGCTCTTTCTATTTTTGTTCTTGTTTGTTGCAATTCTGCTTTAAATAATTACCTAGAGCTGTATAAACTTAATGGAAGCCTTGCAATTTGGAAACGGAACTGTCACTCCCAAATCAGAGTTCCCTTTCTGTAGATCTTTAATTGAAAGACCCTCGCTAAGTGTTTTGAAGTTAACCCCTGCATCAGCTATTGTCTGCAAAATACTGTTGGCGCACTCGTTCTTTGGTTTTTGAGGCTTGCTACTGTTCAATGACCTGACTGGCTAAATGCCGTACAGAGAGAAGGCTAAGATCATGGAAGTATTTGCCCTTTCATTTGTCTTATTTTCCTGTTCTCTCAAGTTATACACTTGCTATCTATGAAAGACAATTGTTGAGTTTGATTGCTGTTTTGCATATATGATCCAGTTAGGAAAAGAATATAAAGCTTATAGTTGGCACAAAGAGTAACCATCATCTTCAAAGAGGGAAAGCTAGTCCAAAGGTTTTACTGGTAGAGAGATGTCATGGCAATGTCCCAGAAAACAAAAGATAAATTGATTTCTTAGGATGTTGGGGCTAAGAGATTGAGAACTGTGAAGTTAGCAAGATGCTGATCCGGCCAGTACAATCCTTATAGAGCTCAGCTCTCAAAGTGTTTGGATCAAGTCTCATTATTTGTACAGGAATCCTGAAATGGTAGCAGGTAACAAGTCATATTTTGCTTAATTGGATTTCAATGAGGTCTCAAGTGGACATTATTTTATATATAATTTGCCTCGATTTCAATTACAGTGCAATCTAGAATTGCCTTTGTTTATCAGTACTGCTGACTGAAGAAGGTTGGCTCCATTTTTATTTGAATGTTTAAACTTGATGTGTTATCTGTAAAAAACATTACTTATTTCAGTTTCTTTCAAGAACTTGTTTTGTATTATCCAATTTTTGCTTCTGAAGCAGGGATAGCAGAGTGAAGGATGACCACCGGTCTTCAAGAAGATCTAGATCACTCTCTAGATCATACTCTCCACAAGATAAAGCAAGAGAGTACAAGTCTAAGAGGAGATCTCAGAGTCCAGTTCGTAACGGTCATATTCCTCGAGAAGCACAGGATCATGCCTCTGGCAGATTGATGAGTCCTGGGGATAATGGGCGCAGCCCGCTGTCTCGTTCAAGGTCATATGAGTGAGTCCCCTTGTAGCCTGTTCGTACCATGGACGACTATAAACTCTTCTTTTGCTATTCAAGAAAGTTCTTTTGTATGCCGATTGTTTGTCACGTTCTTTAATTGCAGCTAATGTGCACGTGCCTGATTGCAATCCTCTCGTCGCCTGATCTTCTGTGCACTGCTCTGTTGGATGCTTGATGACTGATGTGAGTCTGTGAGCCTTAGATGTAATCAACGTTTTCTTCCATTCTCCCAGCGTTTATTTTCTCCCCCTCCCTTACCGTCTTTAGGTCTAGTTTCGTTAGACTGAATAGTACTCTTTTGATGCTAGTGGATGCTGTAATCTCTCTTTTTTTATTCTTTTTTAACATTTTCACTTTGTATAAATTTGTAGTTTGATAAACATGAGATTCAGCATATGCTGTCCGATTAGTTGGTTGTTTGCACTTTGCATCTAGTTTTTGTTTGCAGAGGTTATCTTTAGAAGATAACTCTCTAGTTGAAAAATGATATGATACAACCGCGATCTCGTTTGAATGTAGTAGATAATAGCGGAGCTCGATAATTGATTTGCATGAACAGTCATATTCTGTAAAGCATGTATCAGAGATCAGACAGGATCGGTGGCAGAATACGCTCCGTTGACTTTCTCCGACGGGAGAGTTGCTGGACTGATCAGGAGATTTCTAGTATTGAGGACTAGCCGAGATTTATACCTTGATGATGATGGGGCTTGAAATATATGAACACTAAGGCGTTTGGATGCAGTAAAATGCACCAAAATAAAGAGGGAATTGGACTAAATTTCCACACAATGTAGTAATTGGACTCGATTACTATGTTTGGATGGGCCAAGGGAGCATGGTAGTTGACCCATGGAATTTGGGCCACTTTCCCACAGACGTGGGAATTAAAAATACAGCCCCTCCCCCCGAAATTCACATTACCACGTTTTAACACTTTTTGTCCCTATAATGACACTCCTGCTTTATCCCTCTCCAATCCTTCTTCCTCCTCGTGACCTGGTTTTCTCTGCACATTCTCCATCCCTTAAAAACAAAGAAGAACAAGAAGCAAAAGATGGTTTCTTTACCTCGTCAATCCTCCAATCACCTATCTCCTCATCGAAAACGAGATCACTAGTAAACCAGGCTCTTCCATTTTCGTCCTAAGTCAGCATTGCATTTAATGCATCGTACCTTCAATTAGCTAGGCGTCCCGACCAGCATGTCAATTCCTCTGACATCTGTCAAGCGCCCAGGCGGGGACCATCATCCGTACCGCTTTTTCTCTCGGCGTGTTTTGTTGCCATGTACCCCTTCTCCTCCTTACCACCTATGACCTATTGGGTCAATTCATTGCCCTGGCTTTCTTGGGCTCATTCCATTACCCCATCCCCAAATACTCTTTTGGGCCTCTGCGTGGGCTTTGTCCTTTGGCCATTACGTACGCTACTCAAAATTTCTCGCTCTTTCCCTAATGTCTTTCGACTGTGTACCGTTTTTACTTCGTCCGATTTTACCTTGCCTGTGCGCTTTTCCTTTGTTGGAGGCGTTTTGTAATTGCCTCTTTTGGTAACATCATTAACTATCCCTTGTATATGCTTTCCTTATTATTTGGAGCGCCCATTCGTTTTCCATAGACGAGGGCGCCTATTGATCTCTTCTTTAAAAAAAAGAAAGCGCCATTTAGTTTGCCCTAACGCACCTACGGTCCTACTTATGACAGAGAAGGAGCCTGTTCATCTTCTATCTTCACGTGCCCCCATGCCCTAACGACCGATGTTTTTGGAATTCAAACGCCCAGTCGTGATTGTGCCACATGGCAAGCACACAAAATTTGAGGCATTTTCTCCTCTCCTCCTTATAAATACCTGACCCCTTTCTCATTTGTGCTAATTCGCCCTAAAAAACCCCTTTCTCTCTCTAGCTTCTCTCTCTATAGGTGGGCGGTCAGCTGCCCCCACCTCTTTGTTCCTATTTCAGCGGTGCGCCCTCTTCGCTCCGTCCTCTTCTTGATTCAACAATCGCCATAGCGATGACGAAGTCAACCCGTGATGGCCCCGGTGCTAGTTACGTACGTGAAGAAGGCGCATCGTCCAATCTTGGTAAATGCTTTTTGAACTTTTCTACTACATATAGAAGGCGAATTGTTTTTGTGGTTGTGTGCGCCGCTCTCTTCACCTTGCTGTTGCATGCACCTGGTTTGGATTTTAGTCACGATATCAAGACCCTCGCCGATGCCATCACCGTCATCGAATTATTATGTGCCCGATGACGGATCATATAAACTGACTGCGTGGGAAAATACATGGCCTCCGGGGTATGCGCCTATCTCTTTGCAAACCTTCCTAACGTCGAAGCTGGGCTAGCTTATCGCTCGACTATGGCGCCTTTAACGATGAACAAACACATAATGGCTCTTCAATTGCCCCGGACATGGACGCGTGCGCCTGCTTCTCGCCTTGCCCGCATCGGAGTGTGTGAGACAAAATGACTCGGCATCTACCAAAAGTATTTCCAATAGGGGTGGCTATACGGTCCGGTCCGGTTAAATTGGCCCAAATTGATCCGGTCCAGTCCGGTCTTTTTGAAAATATAAGGACCGAAGATTGGATTGGATACAGTCCGGTCTTGATCTGGTCCGGTTTTGATCCGGTCCGGTCCCAATTCGGTCTTGATTTTACATTGAGATTGTGGGATTTGAGTGGCCTAAGGCCTTAAAGGGTGAGGAGTTGGTTAAGTTTTGTACTAAGTGCAATGGTTTGTGACCGTTTATGCAAATTACCCTTAAGTTTTGGGTGTTGAGCTCTCTTATCCGGTCTTTATCCGGTTTTTTACCTCAAATCTAAGCCCAAAGATTGGATTGGATTGTTTACTATCCGGTCCCGGTCCGGTCTCGGTCCGGGTTATACGGTCCGGTTTCCGGTTTTTAATCCGGTCCCGGTCCAAATAGCCACCCCTAATTTCCAATTGGGCCTCCAATTTCCAATCGATCCTATTCTTGAAGGAATTTTGGCGACTTGCGGTTGTACTATTGGGCGCCTGTTGCCCTCTGTCATCCTGGTTATGGTTCTATTCAAGCTGAAGTGTCGCAAACACAATGTGCCACATAGGGATTTCTTCTTCGAGAGTGGTGGCAGCTTTGAACTGGATGGGTGCCTGGTTAAGAGGAGGGCTTCAACATTGAAGTTCCACTATCTCGCGGTGAAATAAAAGATACCCGATTAATTAGTTCCCATCTTATTTACTTCAATCAACACCAGCACACATCCCAGTCTTAGAAGTGTATTTTAATGAAGGCTGTTGCAATTAACACATAACTCCACTACTGGGAGAAAATTCCAGTACAAAGTAGTGAATTGACTGACTCTCGTACAATCAATTCACTCCTATCGATTAAAGAAGCTCTAGCAACCTAATCAGATTCTATCTATCTTAGGTTACAAAAGAAATCACAAGAAGTTGATCCAGATTCAATTGCTCCAAAATCGTTTCTCTCTTCAAAGACCCGAAATTGGGTTAAAAACCCCGTTCTCCTGATCACACGGCTAGGGCACATGGTCGTGTAAAATCCCCAGCTGCCTGTGTAACTCTCTAAAACAGCCGTGTCGAATTCCAGCCAGCTCGTGTGAAGCCTTTGGAAATCCCACACGGGCAAAAGTGACGCATGGTGGACAAAATATGTGTAAATAATGAGTCCTCAAATTCCCCCACACTTAACTGTTTGCTTATCCCCAAGTAAACCTGACTCAAACCAATGCAACTCTCCAGACCTTTACAACAAAATGCAACCCCGATCGTGGGGAGAGGATTTTCTAGATAATTTAGCAACTTACGAGGTCAACTGGTCTTCTAAGACGTCCCCTATCTCTCTTAATGCAAGTACTAGACTCAAGCCAGGATCATGAGAAGTAGTGGAACTAAGACAACCAATTCATGGATAAGGAGACTCACACAATTTAACAACCAATGACTATATTTACCGGGTGCTCTTTCATTTCATCTCACTAGTTGGAACCCCTTTTTCATATTATTCGTTCTTTTTTTTTCTTTTGCTTTACTTCACTACTGTTCCAACTGCAGTTTTTATGCGCGATCGGCCCTTATTAGGTGAGCAAGAGCAATTTCTGTACATCTGTCACTCGCCAGAGTACTTCTTTTAACTCCTTTTCCTCACTTCGTGTGGAGGGTCAATGAAATTAAGGGGTGTCGGAAGCTCTATCCGTACCCTCAAAAACACATCCTCAAGTAGGCAAACCGTTCAAAGGGTGGAAATTTTACTTGTACTAGAGACGACTTAGCTTCACCCTGTAGGGGTACATCCCACTAAGGATCACTAAAATCTCTTCCAGAACCCAATTTTGTGCAATGAATGATGCCACACACATTGGGCTTACCCCATGTCTTAAAATTTCAAAGTTTTGAAATGGAGGACCAACTGCTTTTTCATTTCACACAATTGAGCACCTTTTTCGATACACGAGTCCACAACACAATATAAGAGGAGTCATCAATATCAAGAGGGATAGTAAAGATACTTGGGTCGGACCGCTTTTTGGGCAAGCGGTTGAGGAGTAAGTCGAACACTCCTCGCCAAGAGTCACGTTGGCGAGGCCTTCAAGCTTTGGCTTCTTGGTGAGGAATCCTTTGAGGTTCTTGGCATATCTTGGCATTTGAGACCTGGCTTCAAGGAAAGGGATGTTGAGGTGGAGGTTGCGGAGCATTTCCATGAAACCTCCACACTCGTCCTCCAACCTCTCCTTGTACATCCTCGTGGGATAAGGAAGAGGTGGCGTGTACTCCGCCACCGGCGATGTCTTCCTTGCCACCTTCCTCTCATTCCTCGAGGGCTTCTTCTCTCCTTCTTCGGGTTGGTATCTTCCTTCTCCTTCACTTATTTAGTGGCAACTTCCGAAACCACCTTCACACTCCTCACTTGAAGTGCATTCGCCTGATGCGTGACAGCATCTTGAGACGAGCCCATTAGTACTGTTATTATTATTATTATTATTATTGTTTTTTTATTGTTATTTGTTGGGATATTCGGTTATTATTCGGGTGATTCGTATTAGTTTGGGTCTAGGATTATTATTATGTATCTTGTTTAGGAAGTATTCATTTACTTGTTGCTTTAGGTTTGGGTTTCCTTGTCTTAAGAGGAAAGGGGTTTGTAGGATTAGTCCTATATATATGTACCTTTGCTCTTCGCTTTATGAAGTCGATCAATAAAGTATTAGTAGTTAGTAGAGAAAAGTAGCTCTTTTATCGTATTTTCTAGTTCTTTCGCTAAATCGCTCGAGATCACCGGTGCGTGAAATCCCGTTCCGCATCAATTGGTATCAGAGCCTGGTTCCGAGGAACCGAGCTCGACGATGCTCGCATATAGGGCATGCTTTCCGCCGATCGATGAGAGGTCTTGCATCATCAAGAAGCAACTGGACGAACGCAGAAGGTTGTCGAGGGATGAAGCTTTACAGCTTGTCGATGGAGAACCACCGATCGAGATTGACGAGCCGCCGGATAAACCTCCTAGTCCGGCCGATGCAGAGATCTCGTTGTCTGCTCTCAAAGACGTTTCCAAGTCGACGATCATCCGCTTCGACACCACCATCCGTCAAGAACCAGCTGCCGCCTTCGTCGATAGTGCATCATCGCACAATTTTGTGAGTTACGAAGTTGCCGAGAGGTTGTTCTTGCGATCTACGGAGATTCCGCCTTTCGAAGTTAAGGTAATTAATGAAGATTCCCTATTGTGCCAACGATGCTACGAAGCGGTACCAATCGAGATACAAGGGGTACAAATTCAGGCCGACTTGTACGAGCTACCACTACGTGGAGTTGACGTCGTTCTCGGTGGTCAATGGCTTAAGCACGCAAGTCCTATATCTTTTGATTGGAGGAACGCCACCATGCGTTTCAAAGATAAGGGGTCGTGGGTCACATTGCAAGGAGCCATTAATCCAGACAACGAAGATACAGCTGCCGACGGGAGTTTGCGCGATAATGACGTCAAGCCGCGAAAGACTGGATGCCGCAACCGAGGGGGTCAGTCGAGTCTTCAAACGTCAAAGCCCATGGAGCCAACGCTGAAGGAAGTCTCCCCCGCCATTGATGTTGTCCTCTCCGCCGCCACGTCGGCAACATCCTCGACATGGATTTGCTCCACGACAGTCCGTGAGCCTGATGTGGCTGGATGAGGATCAAACTCGGTGGCGAACAGCTTGATTCAAGGCTGCATCGGACCGTCCATGGGCGGCCTAACTGGGGCTCTCTTGTACGGAGTGGGTTTGATGGTGGCTACGGTTGATAGTGCCATGGGACTTGCGGGTGGAACCATAAAGGAGGTCGGCGCACATTCGTGTACGAAGACCTTGACGTCTTGGGACCCTACGACGGAGGCAAGTACATCCTTTGGTTTTAACAAGGCTAATGATGGAACTCTCTCCATGCCAGGAATTGAAGGCCACGTTGAAGTGCAAGATATGGAGTGGAGGTTTGGTTTTGCATATGGTTTGCGGGGATGGGACGAAGACAACATTGACATGAAAAGAACCTGTCCTGGTATATATGTACGTGAGTTGCATGGGGAATTGCTTTTGGACAATGGAGGTTGCTGGACAAGCCATTTCCTGCATGATGAGATGGAATTGGAAGAAAGGGAGCTCGAGTGGTGTGCAAGAAAGAACTTGATGGTACTCGACGTTTTCAAGGATAGGAGTATGGTTCGAGTGCCCAAGCCTAATTGGAAATTTCGTAAGCGAGTTTGGCGTCGACAAAGAAATGCTCTCTTCATAGTCATCAACATGTGGGAGCAATTTTTTTTCATTGATCCGGGTTGAAGATGGCGCCTGAACTTCGGGGACGAAGTTCTTAAAAGGGGGGAGGATTGATGTGTGACAACATCTTGAGACGAGCCCATTAGTACTGTTATTATTATTATTGTTTTATTATTGTTATTTGTTGGGATATTTGGTTATTATTCGGGTTATTCATATTAATTTGGGTCTAGGATTATTATTATGTATCTTGTTTAGGAAGTATTCGTTTACTTGTTGCTTTAGGTTTGGGTTTCCTTGTCTTAAGAGGAAAGGGGTTTGTAGGATTAGTCCTATAAATATGTACCTTTGCTCTTCGTTTTATGAAGTCGGTCAATAAAGTATTAGTAGTTAGTAGAGAAAAGTAGCTCTTTTATCGTATTTTCTAGTTCTTTCGCTAAATCGCTCGAGATCACCTGTGCGTGAAATCCCGTTCCACATCATCGCCCCGACATGATGCTTGGGTTTTGCCACGGTTTGGGAAGGTAAGGCTCCCTTGGGTCTCTCGGTGATGATGCCGTCAAGGTTGTTGATTTGAACCTCCAATTTTTGGAGGTTCGCTTGATGGCTTCGGAGACCCGCCTCAACCGAGGTAAACTTGGTAGTCGTCACATCAATAAATTGCTCTATCTTCTCGAAATTTTGGCTACTCGTACTCACAAAGGTGTTCACTAGGTCTTCAAGCCTAGATAGCTTGTCGGTTTGTTGTTGTTGAAGCCCTAGGCCACCTTGTGCTTGGTACGGTTGTTGGAAGCTTGAGCCTTGAACTTGAGGTCTTTGTTGGATGAAGGTCGGCCATGGTTGGAAATTTCCCGTGGAGCCTTGAAAACCCGTGGGCCTCGGATTAGTCGGTGATGACCAAGCAAAGTTGGGGTGGTTCCTCCATCTGGGGCTATAAGTATTGCTATACGGGTTGTTGACCCTAGCATTTGCCACGAAGTTGACTTGTTCCTCCGGAGCGGTTGCCTCCTTCATTGCCTGACACTCCGCCATCTCATGACTGGTGCTCGAGCACTAGTCGCACGACATCACCGACCTTTTTCCTTGCCTCTTATCTTCAAGCATAACCTCTATCAACTTATCCAACTTTGCCTCAAGCGATGCCCTCGCTCCCTCGCTTTTCACTCCCCTTTCATTGCTTCTTCTTCCACTTCTATTCAACCCCCAATCGTATCCCCTGAGGGCCATGTCTTCAATTATCTCGGTAATTTGGGGCGGAGCTATATTCATCAATTTTCCTTGACACAAGGAGTCAATGAGAATCTTGTCTTCTTGCGTTAGGCCTCCATAGAAGGTTTCAATCCAAAACTGTTCTTCAAACCCGTGGTGCGGGCACTGAAGAAAATAGTCGGAGTACCTCTCCCAAGCATCCCTCAAGGTCTCGTCCTCTTCTTGCACGAAATAGGTAATCTTCTTTCTCCACTCCGCCGTCTTCGAAGGCGGGCAGTAGCAAGCCATGAATTTGTTGAGGAGGTTGTCCCATGAGGTGATTGATCGAGGTGGGCGATTGTATAGCCACCTAAGTGCTTTCCCCGAAAGTGGGTATGGGAAAAGCCTTAGTTGCAAAGCTTCGGCCGACACACCATTGATTTTGATGTTCCCCGCGAGCTCCAAGAATCTCTGCACGTGCTCTCTTGGTGACTCGCTCTCAAGGCCGTGGAATAAAGCATTTCTTTGTATCATAGATTCATAGTCACTAGAGCCGGCTTGATCTCGAAATTGTTTGCCTCCACCGAAGGTATAGGATCGGCAATTGAATGTCCACCGGCCTTGGGGCCATATAGTACCCATCGTCCTCAGGGCATCCTCTTCTTCCGCCGCATCATTCAATTGACTAGCTTGAGCGGCTCCATCTTTCCTTTGGTTACTCGCCATTTCCACTACAACAACGGGTTCAACTTCCACTTCTTCACCATTAATACCAGGACCCAAATGTTGTCCCCTTCTTTCACTCCTTCTCCTTGCCTCCGCTATCTCTCTCTCCCTTACTAGTAGCCGGAGAGTTTGGTTTATGTCGTCGTCAAGTGGTATCAAAGGTATCGGGTTACTCTGGGTATTGCACCACCTACACACAATCGGGAAAACACACCAAGTCTAGGACAAGCAAAGCACACACGCATGCAAAACTAGAAATTAAAAGCTAGATTAACACTAAACAACTTTTTCAAGATAACAGACCTTTGTTCCCTAGCAACGGCGCCAAAAACTTGACTCGTCCTGAATACCACAATAAATTCCCGCCTAAGGTCCAAGTATAAACCTTAGTCGGGTGCAATACAGGATAAGTATGTTTAAATATCAACACGGGCCGGGCCGTCTACCCCTACTTCAGTCATTTGAATCATTATTTAGCAACAAAGTTTTGGTTGAAAAGTTTGCTAATTAAAATAAAATAAGGCAAAGGTAATTGGTTTTGAAAACTCTTTGTGGGAAGGATCACTCGGGTGTCGCTTCCCCCTAACTACTACCATGGTATGTGAATTGAAACGATTTCTATGGGCAAGGTAACCACGAACTGCAGAGGGATGCAAATATGGTTGTAGACCACAATCTCAATTTCTAAACCGAGGTAAACATTATAGGCCGTGTCACTCGGCCTACTCGGTTTAGGCAATCGGTGGTGACTTACTCACTCACTCAACTCAAGGGTTGGACAGCTTAATCACGCTTAACCAATTTGCTTAATTCAACATTGAGGTTTGCCCTAAATTAATCTAGTTAGGTGACTTAAAAAGCTAAAGGAAAACCAACTCGATTGAGTCTCCCTTGAAAAGTGGATTTTCCTCTCTAACTACGTTAAAGTGGCTAATTAGATTGCAAAGCACCAACATGCACAAACCTAAGGATATTAAGCACAATTATGCACAATCCTCAGGTTGCTAAGCACCAAAATGCACAAACCTAAGGATGCTAAGCACAAAACATTCACAATCCCTAGATTGCTAAGCACAAGCATGCACAATCAACATGACTAATACCTCAATCATTGAATTAAACAATACCCAATGACAATCATTCAATTCACATAAAAGAAACTACATGGTAGAGTTAGGGCTTCACAACACCCAAGTGAAAAGAGATCTACTCCATGCTAGAAATGGGAGAAACACAAGAAGAAGGGGTAGAAACCATCTTGGAGGAGGCTTCCAATCTTCTAGACCCTTGTGTTGAGCTTTCCTTGGAGAAAATCTTCCCAAAATCCACCTTGGAGCAAAACCCTAGCCTCTTTCTTCTTTGGTTCGTGTTTCTCTCTCTAGAAATGTGAAGAAGGCTTATTCACACAAATGGGCTCCCCTCTCTAACTTCTTTTCAGCTCATCTTTTAAACCAGAGACGAGCTTAGTTCACGGCCATGAACTCTGAAACGCATATGTGAACTGCAGATGGGCGCCAAAACGCACCGCTTTGTTTGCTTCTGTTCACGGTCAACAACCTCAGTTCACAGTCTTAGTGACCATGAACTCACCTTGCGTCAGTAACTTCTGGAATTGCTCTGGACGCCTCGAGGTTCAGGGTCGATGGCTCTTCTTCACGGTCATGCGAGACCGTGAACTTCCAGGGATAGTCGTGAACTGGCCATTTTTCAACTCTTCTCCCGATTTTGGATCCTTTTCGTCCAACTTTCGACTCCGAGGCGGGTTTCACCTATTAAATCCTGAAAAATACTAAAACACGAGAAACCTAGCATAAAACCAACCTTTAAGGAGCGAATTCGCCACAAACACCTAAGTAAAACGAGGGTAAACCATGTACATTTAGGCCTGAATCAGTATTGCAGGGAACACTACTTGGAGCCCTCAATTCATCAAATTGGACAGTGGACTAGGCTCCAAGCACACAAACTCATATATGCAGTCAAGATAAACACCCCCCCCCCACACACACACACTTAAGCACGACATTGCCCTCAATGGAGTAGAGGAAAAGATAAGGGGAACAATGTTACTGGGAAAACGGAATGTTGGGGGACTGGAAATGGGACCAGTCAGTAGGGGAGTACTGGAAGGTGGACCAGTCCACAGAGCTAGAGTCATCAAAACACACTGGGTGATAGAAACCGTGGTGGACCAGTCTTGCACCTAGTGAGAGACAACATGCACAAGCGAGATAGCAGTCATATTATTAGCAATGGAAAATGTTATATGCTCCTCGCCATCTCTCAAGACTAAGGTCCCATCATGCACATCTTTGAGAGCCTTGGCGGTGGCCAGGAAAGGCCTTCCTAGTATAAGGGGCACTTCTGCGTCTTCATTGATGTCCAAGACAACAAAATCCACAAGATAAAACAATCTGCCAACCTTAACAAGAGGTCTTCCACTATGCCCCTTAGGATGAACTACAGATCGGTCAGCTAATTGAATACTCATCCTAGTTGCACTGGGTTCACCTAAGCCTAGTTTCTTGAACAATTTCTATGGTATAACATTGATACTAGCACATAGATCCGCCAAAGATCTCTCTACATGCAATTTACCAATAGAGCACGGGATAGTAAAACTACCTGGGTCCTTCTGCTTTGGCGGAAGCTTGTTCTGCAGAATGGCCGAGTATTCCTCGCTGAGCTCGATAGTGGCCAGCTCGCTCAGATTCTGCTTCTTCGAGAGAAGATTCTTCAGGAACTTCACATACTTAGACATCTGAGATAGTGCCTCCATGAAGGGCACTTGAACATTCAGCTTCCTAAGCATGGACAGGAAATCGCCAAACTCTGCCTCAAGCCTGTCTTTGTACATCCTTGTGGGAAAAGGGAACTTAGGCTTACATTCAGCCACTACTGGCTGTGGCTTTAGAGCTCGAGCCTCTGGCTCTTTTTTCCATCACCAGGTCCTCTTTCGGCTCTGGGGTGATTCGTGTCACCTTCTTTGCACTCCTCGGCGGTGCATTTTCAGTTACACTCCAACTTCTCAGCGTGATGGCGTGTAACCCCTCCTTATGATTTCTGGGATTCGGCAGGGGTTGTCCAGGGAGTGTGCCAGTCGGTTTGGAAGCAAGAGCATATGCCAAATGCCCAATTTTGGTGTCCAC